ATATGGTAATACATCATTACAGTTGAGGCACAGCCCCCCCCGCCCCCCCCTGGCCCCGCCCTGCCCCAGACCCTGTCACCGAGCTATGTGTGGAGGAGGGAGGAGCCTCCCTATCCCTCACTTTATCGTCACTGATGAGGCATCTATAAGGATGTTTTTGTTTTCTTTTGGACTTTTTTTCAACTTGGACAAAAAGCACTTTGCCATTGGTTCAAACCTTCCACAGAGCCCAAGCCTCTGAATCCAAGTCAGAAGCTGTTGTGGCTCTGACCTCACATTTACCCTGCAGGATCCTATGGAGCCACTCTTTTGTGTGCTAGTAAGTACACAAACACATAGGTACAGCAAGGCAAGCCCGTTCCGTGCTCCCTGCCCCCTCTTCTCTCTTCAAACTAGTAGATAGACAACTACTAGAATATGATATGTCCCTTGTGATTTTGTACTGAACAGGAGGTTCAGGGAAGCTGAGCTGAGAGAGTTGGAGCTGTTTGTAAATATGATTACTGTAAGTGCTTGTGCAAAACGTTAAAGAAATGCTTTGCTGTGCGATGTATATTTGTTTGATCTGGATTCATTATTGACAAAAGAATGAGCGTTTAATACTACATTAAAGGTCTCTTTTAATTCTCGGTAAACTAGTGCTTTTTGCCTGTTACTTTGACAAGGTCGGTAGAATAGTCTGTAAAAGAAATGGATGTGACATTATCAGGGAGCATCTCCCACTGCAAGTGACACCAAACTCTCCCACAACCTATCCTTCTTAAATCAGCTATGCACAAACAGGGGCGCAACTTCCCAACAAGTCGGTGAGTTTAAATTGTACAGGGGGTGGACCTTAATATCAGCCTTCAAAAATAATCAAGATTTGTATTAACCCTTGCAGTGGGGCTACCCCAGCACTGCAAGGGTTAACTGATCGTTATGGTCTAGGGAGGAACATAACAAAGTTATGCTCACCCGCTTCTTGGAGCTGGCTTACTCTTAGACTGGTCCCTGGATCCTCCCTCCCTTTCCTCCTCACAAACCATCACGTTCTACTGTATACACAGTGTATAGGAAATGAGGACTCCGACATATGATCTCTTGATCGTAGGAGGAGACAGGCTGGAGGGAGCGCTGGACCAGCCGGATGGCTATGAGGATCAGGTGAGTATAACTTTGTTATTTTCCTCCCTAGACCAAAATGAGAACTTAAAGGAGAACTATGAGGTGAGTGACTTTCACTCATCCCCATAGTTAGAGCCGACGTGTGACACTGAAACTGTCACACGTCCCCTATAGCTCGGGAAGTGAGCGGATACATACCGTCGCTCGCTCACTTTCCGATCATCTCCCTGCAGAGAGCGGTGACTGCCAGTCACCGCTCCCCCCAGGGATTCCCCCACTCCCCTCTCCGATCCTCCAGCGCTTACTGAAGGAATGGATGAGGGAGGGTGCAGACACAGCTGGCTCTGCCTCTAGATAGGCAAAGGCAGCTGTCAATCAGCCAGCTGGGTGGATCTCAACAGTATTGTCAGGTTCCGTCCCAGCTGCAGCACTCTCAGTATATAGCAAGCTATAGCCCACTATATACTGAGCTTTGGGTCGCCGAAGGACCTTAGTATATGTCCTCCTGTTACCCTGAAGAGAACTATGGGATAAAAACTATGGATACCCCATAGTTCACTTTTAACCTTTGCTGTGCGGGGGTAGCTCCACTGAAAAGGTTAATACAAATTTTGCTTGGAGTTCTTCTTTAACTAACCACTTCTTTTACCATAGAATCCAACAAGTCTATAGGTAAAGTTTAAAGAATTTGCGCATTTAAACAAACACCGAATATCTGTGCTCCAATGTAATACGGAGGCCTGTATTATATAGCATAAAAGCACATATTAAATATAACAAAAGATAATGTTTCGGTTATCACATCAGCACATTCCCTATCGATCAAACACATGTAATAGAGCAATGCAGATAAGTGATGTTCTCCATGCTCCTTGCATTGATTACAGTGAAATAATGCTGTAATTGTAATTTATAATGATGTTTGTTGGCTTTCCATATGATGTGATATTGATCCGGTGTTTATTCGGCTCTCATTAGGTGACTCAGATACATTCAAATCATTGTTGCTCCTTGAAAGGTTTTAGGATGCAATATTTAAGATGTCATCATTTTCAGTTCCCCATAATCCACAACTCAATGACTGTGATTACAAAGGGAACGCTGGTGCTTATCTCAAATTATGTGGGCGATTGTATATACACTGCCGCAGATCTTTTTTTTTATGTCTTTGTTTATTGCTGCCTGTAAGTAATCAAAAACCTCACAATTATGTCGCACTGACAAGTGACTTATTGCTTTTGTTGTTGCTGTGGAAAACTTTTTTTTTTTTCTCCCTTTTTCATAGTACATTACAAACCTTTTTTAGGGATCTATAGATTCACATGAAGCGGTTATAAAGATCACATGGGCACTATCATCCAATTAGTGTAAAACAGGGTTGGGCAACTAGCTGTGCTTCAACTACAAATTCCATCATGCCTCTGTCTCTGGGAGTGATGCCCGTAATGTTTAGCCTTGCAATGCCTCAATGGACTTTCACAACAGCTGGAGGGTCGGGGTTGCCCACTCCTGGTGTAAAGATTACATTTTGTGTAGTCCAGTCATACCAGTCATACCAGTCAGATTAATGGAGGAACAACAGTTATGGCAGTGGTGGTCAACTTACTAGATCTAGGGGCCTCACGTGCACCCCATCAAGATCAAAGGGTCGCACATAATATTGAATAAATATAATGTCACAGAGATATGTCAATGGAAGACTGCAGACATACAACAAGAGATGACCAGAGACTAAAGGTATGCTACAAGAGATGGACAGAGATGTGGACATGCTACATGAGATGGTTAGGGACTGTGGACATGCTACAGGAGAAGGTTAGGGACTGTGGAGATGCTACAGGAGAAGGCTAGGGACTGTGGAGATGCTACAGGAGAAGGTTAGGGACTGTGGGCATACTACAGGAGATGGATGGAGACTATGGACATGCTACAGGAGATGGATGGAGACTGTGGACATGCTACAGGAGATGGATGGAGACCGTGGACATGCTACAGGAGATGGTTAGGGACTGTGGAGATGCTACAGGAGAAGGTTAGGGACTGTGGGCATACTACAGGAGATGGATGGAGACTGTGGACATGCTACAGGAGAAGAATAAAGTCTGTGGACATGCTACATGAGATAGTGCGAGACTGTGATCATGCTACACAAGATGGTTAGAGACCGTTTACATGCTACAGGAGATGGTCAAAGACTGTGAATAGGAAAACACCTGCATTGGAGTTGATGGAGACCGAAACATGCTTTTGTAGACTGTCAGAGACTGGGGATACATTATATGAGACTGCTAGAGATCAAAGTTATTACTGCCGCTACATCTGTGGTCCTTACAGTTCCCTTACTACTTACTGTGCTACATTTGATATGTCTCTCAACAAGATACATTATTAAAGGTCATTATCAGCAATGCCCACTGTTTGCAGTGCAGGGGTCATGGATCTCATTAAGAATGTACAGAAAGACAGAGGTAATGCTCATACTTGTCCTGAGTACCACAGTGGCCAAAAGTTGAACGATGATGACGGAAGTGCTGTATTTAGAATTAACATCCCAGATCCTGGGGTAGCAGATTATAGAAGAAACGAGCAATCCAAATTTACAAATGGTGACACTTTTTCCTTATTTTGTTTCCTTCTTCTATCCACTCCTAGATATTTGTTGATAAATTCGACAAGAGAAGTGTAGCAGGAAGGGGTGTAGAGGGTGTTTAGAGGAGTCTGAAGGCTTTCTATGGTTGAGGAAACATGAAGCCTCTTTTTCTCCTTTGTCAGGTGGTCTGCACAGGTAAACATTAAGCAGACAGCATGCATACTGCCTCTAGTAGTGCATTCTACCGATAGTTTATACTAAAATAGTCACATAAAAACAGCGCTTGCAGAAAAGGGCTTCTTTATTTAGGTGTGCCTAGGGTAGCTTGATGTCCTGGGATGGGATATGAATAGTAGACAATAGTTGATATATTTTGGGCATTTGAAAATAAAATATATTGGGGGGAATTGATCAAAACTGGAGCAGACAAAAACTGGAACAGCTGTGCCTGGCAACCAATCAGCTTCTCTTTTCAGTTTGCTCCGTCAAAATTTGAAAATGAAAGAGAGAAGCTGATTGGTTGCCATGCACAACTACTCCAGATTTTGTCTGCTCCCGTTTTGATCAATTCCCCTCATTATATTTAGCTCGGGTACAGTTCAGCTTTAGGAAGTGGCTGGTGCTAGTGGAGGGAATATACAGCATTAAAGGAGAACTATGGGGTCAGTGTTTTTCCCCATAGTTCTCCTTAGGGTAACGGGAGGACACAAACTAGCGTCCTCCCATTACCCTATGCTCAGTATACCGCGAGCTACAGCTCACGGTATACTGAGACGCCAGAGCGGATCCCGACGTAGATGACAGGATCCGCCCAGCTGCGTGAGTGACAGCTGGCTCTGCCTATCTAGAGGCAGAGCCAGCTGTACCCGCCCCCTCCCCCATCCGTTCTGCCAGTCAGCGCTGGCAGATCGGAGCGGGGAGAGGGGAATCCAGCCCCTCCCCCTGTCAAGGCAGAGAGCCGTGACAGGATCGAGAGGCGAGCGAACCGGGTATGTGTTCGCTCACCTCCCGATCTACTGAGCCGACCTGTGACAGTCTCATTGTCACAGGTCGGCTAGAACTATGAGCTGAGTGAAAAGCATTCACCTCATAGTTCTCCTTTAATAGTGGTAGCTTAATACTGTGCAGTCCACCAAAGGCAACAAAACTGGATGAATTTCTTCTTGGTTTTAGGTAATATATGCAGGTCCAGTGGAGGGCACTTACATCCTATATGTATGGATTGTTGTGTTGTGTTGTGTTTGGAAGATAATCTACAAATTAAATAGTCTACTGTAACTCTATTATGTATCTTCAATTCCAGAGGCTGGTTGAAGCAGCAGAAGAAGCACATTTAAAGCATGAATTTGATGCGGATCTACAGGTAAGTCACTTTATGACTTCATTTCTGTTATCTTTATTTGAAGGGAAGGTTCTAGGAAAAAAAAACTTGGTTATGGGATAGTAAAACAATGCCAGCAGAATCTAGTGATGCAGAAAGCTGGAAGAGCATCTGCATCCAGCAGGTTTTTGCTTTCCAGGCTGCATTAAAAACTTAGCTTCTGGAATATGTCTGTGAAGGTTCTCATCCATCCAGGTCATGGTATATCTGTAAAAAATCAGTCAAGGCAACTGGACTTGCTGTATTTTTCTTGAAGACGTTTCACTGTTCATCCGACCAGCTTTCTCAATTCAGAATGACTTGTACAAAAAATGATCTGGCAATAAACATGGTGAATGTTACTCCAATCCACATAATCTGTTAGTCACAACCTGGTGCTGATTGCATTTGCATAACTGGAGTTTAGGAGGTGTTATTAACCTGCCCAGAGAGAGGTGTTAAAACAGCATTTTAAAAAAAAATATGATGCAAATGCAATCAACACCTGGTTGTGACTAACAGATTATGTAGATTATGTGGATTGGAGTAACATTCACCACATTTATTCCCAGATATTTTGTTTGTACAAATCATACTGAATTGAGAAAGCTGGTTGGATGACCAGTGAAACGTCTTCAAGGAAAAATACAGCAAGTCCAGTTGCCTTGACTTATTTTTTTACAGATATTAGCTTCTGGAAAATGCTTGGGTGAGATAGATTTTTTTGTTTTTTGTTTAAATGTTATAATTATAGTGCAATAGCTATATTATACAGTATATGAAACAGTTTTGTGCCTTCTGCAGAATTTATTTTTAAGCAAATCTGTGCTTTGCCTATTCAGGGAAACTCAACAGGTTATTTTAAACCCCTGACTACCAGGGGTGTGAGCAACTCTGCCCATCCAGATGTGCTTTGACAACAAATCCCAACATGCCTTTGCCTCTGGGAGTCAAGCCTATAACTTGCAATTCCTCATGGGACTTGTAGTTCCACAGCAGCTGGAGGTCCAGAGTTGACCACCATATACTTACCTTTCCATGGTTCCTGCGCCTGTTTCGCTTAAGGAACTGCATGAAATACCTGGTACTTCTGGATATGAAGGTGCATGTGACTCACTCCATGTAACAGCTCTGGGCAATCAGCGCTGTTAAACTGTAATTCCATAGCCCTCTGTGAGCTTAATTCTTCCCCATTCTTCTCACAGTGGCCATTTTTTACTAAAGGCATGGAGAGATGAGATTTCCCAGCAATGCACTGCTGATGTACCCTTCCCAGGATGCATCACTTTGGCACAGATTACATCACTAATGCCTAAGAGGACCAGGAAGTAGAAAATCAGTAATTGTAAGTAAAAGAAAATATGTTTGTTTAGCTAATGAATGTAAGATGATTTCATATCAGCATGCAGAGCTACATGATGAGGTGATTTTTAGTGAAAAGGGGCAAAGGTTCGCTTTAATGTGTGTTGGAAAATGTTTCTCTGAGTTTACATGCAGCATGTTCCTTTTTCACCCTGAACTTGTATACTATGCATTGGTGCAAACTAGACCTATTGAAAACAACAGATTCTAGCTTGTCATTGCGTTAGGCCTACATTGAGCAACACAGCCCAATGTATGTGGTATGAATGGGCCCTGACTGGTAAGTTTGCAAGCAAGGTTCTTCTCTGTGACTAAGCCGGTTGATAGGACAAACATGACAAAAAGAAGAGACTGGCAGGGTTGGATCTACTGTTTTAAACAATAACATTTTGTTGGAACTTCTTGCACAGCCTCGCAGAGAAACACAAGCACACAGTCTTATATGCATGCTGCACATAGCTTGACTGACTAAAACAGGAAGGAAGCCACAGCTTTATTCTCTTCCTTATTCAATACAACAGAGATATAACAGAACTTATAAACACTGCCATCTAGTGACCTACATTGTATACTGCAGTAGTTGATGCAATAGACACAATAATGTGTATTCTAACAAGTGTATTAAACACTGACCTCATTAGTATTGTGACAACGTGATGCAGTTAGGGTATGCCCACTGTTGTAAGCCATCAGATAACTGATTATCAGTCAGTTTTAGACACATACATTTTGTTTAGTTCTGAATGAATATTCATACACACTTGCTAAATTCGGACATTCGGATGCATCTGCATTTCCAAATTCGATTGACTCTGAATGCGAACAAATCTGGATGCACATTTAACAAAAATTTGGATCCGTACGAATTTCGTTCAAAACGAAACAAAATCGGACACGTGTGTCCACGGTGATGTGACTTCATGTTGTGGAGTCGATAAGAGTAGTAGGAGAGCACAGTGTCGGAACTAAAATGATAAAAAAACAAAAACAAAATAATTGTTAATTTATCATTAAAGAACCCCATCCGAATAGATCCGAAACGAAAATTCGTATTGTTCCGAAAAGAACATTTGGACGGATCTGAACAAACGAACCAAATCATTTTTTACATCCGGAATCTGAAAAACGAAATAGATAAAAAAATCCAAATTGATCCGAAATGAAACAAATTTTTTCCAGAATATTCAAAACAACTTAGTTTGCGCTAGGAGTCGGATTTAAAACACCAGCCGCAACAATGTGTGTTTAAGTGTTTTAAAGAGAAGTGGGTATGTTGCGCTTGGTAAGTAAAACCAAATAGATTCACTTACCAAGCGCAACATACCCACTTCTCTTTAAATTTTTTCCAGAGTTACATGTCTAGTCACTTTACCTTGTACGTGCTCTAGCTGCTGTAAAGTGACAAATTTAACTTGTCTAAGTGGTAGCTCATTGTGTTAGCACTTGGTGATCTGTATGAGAGCTGCATGCCACTTTTTCCCCCCAAGCTGTTAGCATTTAATTTTTGCTCCATCACAGAGTTAATTCACCCTGAGCTCATTTTCTTCCTTTTGTTTTTTTTTGTGTTGCATTTTTAAAATTCTCTAACATGCTGCCCGAAGGCACTTTTTCCTGATGAACTTGTAGAAAACTATTATTATAAGTCAGTGTTTATCTTCAGACAGTTCACATACGCTTCTCTTAAACACTTATCCTTTTCTGCTTCCGAGCTAGAAGAATATTGTGCCATTTACATATATTTATTATCAGTCATTTCCGCAGGAGGCTGTCTGTTTTCTAATCTTTACAGCTAACTAAATGACAATTTTAGAAGAAGAGGGAAAATAAACTATCAGTCTGAACATGTTTTGAATATTTCACAGATTGAGAAAAGCTTTGTAAATGTAATTATTATTTTTTTTAATGTTAACATGCAAAATTTAGTCCTCGGTTTCTGATTTGTGCTGGATTGCATGCAGTTCTGTGTAAAGTAAAAGTGACACTGATCTCAGGAGTACTTTAACTTTAGGGCATCATTCACACGAGAACCGGTCGGCACGTACAGCTCCGTGCTGCATGCATGGCCGTATCAGGCAGCTTCCGGGAAGGACAGGGAGCTGCATGATACGGCCGTGCACTCAACACGGAGCTGTATGTTCCGGCCGATTCTCATGTGAATGAGGCCTAACTATTCACATCAATTGTGGTGCGTTCCAGAGCGGAAGCTGCTGGAATGCACAGCAATCACTCACAAAACTTCCCCCTTTGTTCTGAGGTGGGAGGGGGCGTGGCAGTGCATTGAAGTCAATGGAAGACCGGAATTCAGGCAATGTTTTGTTTGCCATGCGTCTGATCGCACTGCAGGGGGAGGGTGGGGGTTGGGGGGGGGCGAGGCTGCGGTGCCATTGACTTCCATGCAGCGCCATGCCCCCTCCTACATAAAAACAAAGGGGGGGGAGTTTTGTGAGCGATTGCTGTGTGTTCCAGCAGCTGTCGATCTGGAACGCGCCGCAATTGGTGTGAATCGGCCCTATCTATTAACAAAACCTTATTTGTGTATCACTTGCCTGTAGATCCTCAAATCTTCTCTGCATACGTGCTGACACTGTCCTTCCTTCTGGAGGGTGGCTATTTATGTTCCCCATGGTCCCTGTGTGTGTTGTAAAGTATCCACTGCTCCAAGCTAGACTACAATCTCAATACAAATTAGTAAACTAAACATGAGATTGTAGTACATCACGGGAGCGAGCTTGGAGTGGTGGTTCCTTTACAGCACACACAGGGACCATGACAGTGGCGGACCTAGGGAACAAAGGGCCAGATTATTTTTAGCCCCCCCCAAAAAAAACACAAACCCCCCTAACCCATATCCCCTTTAGCAACCACAAAAAAAGTTGGAAAAATGGCATTGCTGTATAAAGTACTGCTGAGATGGGTGCCATTCTGCATTGCTGCAATGCAGAATGGGACCTGCCATAAAGAACTACAAACACCAGCTGTACTTTATACAGCAATGCCATCAATTGGGCTAAAAAAAAATGATTTTATTTATTAACTTACGTTCCCCTCCTCTGGCTGTTTCTTGGTGGGGGAGGCTGCAGAAAACCACCCGTGTGTGTGTCCATCTCAGCGCGCCCGTGTACTCAAGCGGCTGTCTGCTGGGTCCTCACGGCCGAGGCCCAGGGCTGCCCCCTGCAGTGCCTGCAGGCTTTTTTTTTTATTCACGGCTCCC